TATGATCTCTTCGATTCTGATGAGGTTTTTGGAAAAATACGATTCAGAAAGTCGAAATTTTTACATTTAAAAAGAAAATGAGTTCTTCAAGTCTGGCTCGGGATTTTTTTTCATAGTTGGCCATCGTGTGGTGTGTCAGTGGAGGTAAGTTGCTGGTGAATTTCAGGTGATATCATCGAGACGTTCCTGAAATATCGTTCGTCGAAGTTTCACTCCGAATTCAAATAATGCCCTGTATTTATGTTACGAATTGGCCATTAGGCTATGGCTGGTAAGTCATGACTCACCATGTAAAATCGAATTAACAAAAGACAATGCATTCGACAAATGACACTCAACTTGATAGTAATTGCTGTCAACAAATAACATAAAATTTTATTCCACCGACATATGGTCAATACCCTAATAAAAAGCTACTCATATCAGTTAACCTCACGTGAAAGCATGCACAACACACTCGCATTATTAATATTCACCTATATTCCTGATTATTTCATTCACACCCGGCTGGACCTATGAAATGTCATGATTGAAGTCACATGATATGTGATATCAGCGGCTATTTATAGGTAAACAAACAATATGAGCGGCTATTCTGTTCGCCAGCATAAGAGTGCTATGGTTGTCAAATTTTGACATACCTATCAGTCACTCAAAAATTGAAAAGTCTCGTTTTGGGTCAACTTCCACTACGGAAATTCGTAATTATGTAAGCGAATCGATATCAGAAAATAACAAGTGAGGTACGTAGTTTTTGAAAAGAATCAGATTAGTATAGATGTAGTTTTCATTAGGTACTAGATTAGTATAGAGGTCAAATAATTTATACGACGCTATAAAAGCAGATGATATTTTTTCATTGCTCATGTAAGATGGAAGTAGAGGCCATGGCACCATATCATGAGCATAACTTTATATTGAAACTATCATTGGGCACCAAAGATGTGTATACGACACTATGCAAGTTCAGAGAACTGGAGATTTTTCCCACAAACTACGTAGTAAGCCCACTCGACTGTCTTGGTTTTTACACACAAACTACGTACCTAGCCCACTCGACTGCCAATAGGGACTGAAAAAAAAGAAACAGAAGAAAGTTTAAACAATGCCAACATATTTTGGCGAAAAATAAAGACAGTCGAGTGAGCTAGGTACGTAGTTTGTGAGAAAAAAATCAAGACAGTCGAGTGTGCTTTTTTTACTTCCTTTCGTTTTTTGTTTCGTTTTCTATTGGCAAGTGATTATCTAGGAACTAGTAAATTTTTTAGTTTTTTCATCGTATCTCCCGAACTATTGAATTCAGAGAAAAATGTTATTGGGATTTTTTGTAGATTTTATCAAAAGAAATAATTTTGGTTTCATAACATTTTCAGATATTTCGAGTTGTTTTCGAGATATATGGAATCATCTGAGAATAAAATTTTCAACACTTTTGTTCTATCTTCCAATCAACAAATGGAAAAAATGTTTCATGGTTCAGTGGAAGTCGATGATCTCCATCTACCTATAATCTTTTGTTTTTCAATATATCTTCATGGTACCCTTTTGTTTCCTTCATATTTTTTACTTTATTTCCTGTACTATCGGGTTTACAGAAAACATTTTGGGTAATAATTTGTAGGAAATGTTCCAGTGGATAACTTTGCACTTCTGATAATTTTCGATTTTTCCATTTGTTTTCGATATATATTGAATTGACAGGATTTCAAATTTTGATGTTTTGATTTTCATTTGTTTTTCCATTTTCCGATGAATGCACGAAAAAATGGTAGGATAATAATCTGTTGCATCATCAAAGAGGCATACGGTGCATTTTTCAAATTTGGATTTAGTCTATTGGTTCAGGAGATATGTCGTTTCAAAGCGAACCGTGTGTTTCGGAAAATCTCCTCGAAAAACCCACTTGGAATTTCCCGACCCTGCTCAATTTCAATAGGCTTCGTCTCTCCCTGATAGAGTTTTTTTCACAAAAAATGAAATCGATCGGACCACTTTTGCGATTTGTAGAGTGGTCACAAAAAACTTCCGGTGATAGATCGAAAAAACCCGGAAAAACCACCTCAGATTTTTCCGATTTCCTTCATATTTCAATGACATAATATTGATTTGAGTGAAATAAGATGGCAAAATTTCAAGTCGATGTGTCAAAGGGTTCCGGAGATATATCGATTTATGATTACCACAGAGTACAGACAGACAGACAGACCACACACAAAAACCAAAGTTGCTCAAAATTCAATGGGGATCATTTTCTCCAAAGTGACTATACCTCGCTTAGTTTCCGAGATAGCATTTTTGGCAAGGCCGTAGTATACTCCACTATGTATAGCGTCGTATAACAAGGAGAGTAAAGAGTTTTTCTGAAACAATTCATGTGTTTAGAAAAACTATGAATTTTGTGCGACTACCCCAACTCTCGTGATTGCCCAAAACCTGATAGATTGGGTGAGGAGAATGGTGCGGAATATTAGAAATACACAGTTGAAATTGATATGGAAAACTATATACACGAAGGATACTTCAATGACTACAAACGTAAGACGAATCCATTTGAATACTTCGAATTCTAAGGTGCCAGGGTTGCGCATAATGCAAAAAGGCGAAGCCTACAATATTTTCCTCAAACAAGAAAGAAAAGTACAGAAGCTCTAATCGAAGAATATTAACGCTATGCGTTAATATTCTTTCTTCGCTCTAGATTTATATGAACTGATTGCAATTGTACGTAGATATGATGAGAATACCCCAAACGGCCTTCGGAAGAAGTTTTATTCAAATAGTATCTGCAGAATTGTGAAATTTAACTTGAATAAAATGTTGAAACTCATATAAACCAGTATTTTTACATTGTTCATGAAATAATCTTCGTGAATATCACTCGACCATGACAAATGGAGACTATTATTTTCTTCAATTCATCTCGAGTAACTTGTATTTTGCGACAATTCAATTCGACCATATAAACATAAATAGTCATAGAATAACTCTCTCGAGCTAAAGCTCTCGGGAGTTATTCAGATTATTAATGTTCATATGGTCTCATCAAAATGTCAAAATACAAGGTACTCTCGATGGAATTATGTAGAAAATTTCACACCAAACACTTTCGATCAATTTTAAGCCTGTATTTCGTATCGTTTCCATAGCAACTAAACAAATTTCTTGGCAATTTTTTCCTCCTCTTTGGGGGACGGAGCATGAAATTACACTAGAAATTTTTTGACGTTCATATGACATTTACATTCAACTCCAGATTATTTCGAGTTCATTCTATAAATAAATGGAGAATATAAAAGCGACTATTCACTAGAACGTATGGAATATCTATGTTTCACGAAATATATGTATATAGTTCTTTGAAACAATCTTATTCTGTTGTAATCCACGAAGGGCTCCATATTTTTCACACACCAGAAGCTTATGATATTTGATAATCCCAAACAAATTCGGTTAATGAATTTTCAGCCCGCATTCTTCTACTAAATACGTTGAAAATTTTAGATTCCGATGATACTTTTTAATGTCACTCACTTCATTACAAAACTTGCATTACTATTATACTGTTATTATATTATTATCTATCATTTCATATTATATTATCACCTTTTTCATTATTTTCTACCAACTTTAGTTGAATAAATTTGTGAAAAACTGAAAGATTGATTTACTACTGGCTTATTTTTCTTCATTTTATTCAACTAAAGTCGTTCAATTATATTTTATTCAACCTAATAATATTATGCGCGCAAATGTCATGGATATACTGAATGGTACTCCGAGTTCCTTGCAAGAAAATATATTTCTTATATCACTTTTGTGACCTAAATTTGTGAAAAATTTGAAAAGTGAGCTACTATCGATTCATTTCTCATTATTTTGTGTATTGGGTTTTATTTGACCTATCAATGTTATGAAAGTGCATTTTATTAATAATATTAATACATTTCCATATAAACACTATGATATTATACCTACTCTTCAGTTTTGACATGAAGAATGACATAAGTAAATGGAAATAGTTATTTTTGTATCTAGAGCGCGAAATGCTACTTTGGTGATCGAGATCTGATTTTTTTAACGAGGCGTAGCCGAGTTGAAAAAATAGTCGAGATGACCAAAGTATTTCGCGCTCGAGTTGCAAACAAAATTTTTTCTACAAACGTCAAAAAATATAGTTCTGAAGTAAAAATATGCTTAACTTGATATGAAAAATAGTGTTGAACTGACTTGAAAGGTCTTCCCCTATCCTCCCTAGGTACGCACGATGTTCCACGAACATAATAGGAATTTCCTTTCGTGCGCTCCAAGAGAAAAAACAAAGTTATTGTTGAACATTCAGAAATAAATGATTTTGTGGATGTCTGCTCGATTGAGGACCATAAAGTTGAAATATAAATATCTCATTTATTTTACATAACAATGCGCGAAGTAGGTACTTCGCGCACTGTTTTACTTCGCGCATTGTTTTGTGCAAGGAATCATAGTAACGTAGGAAACTGAAAAAAAGTGTCACTTCGCAATTTGTTATCAATGCGCGAACCTTGTCATTTTTTGACGTTTGTAGAAAAAAAAAATATTTTATTCTTTTGAGTTAACATACAAAGCCTACTTTTCAAGTGTCAAAACCATCAGAAATCGTCATTATTCAAGTGATTTCTCAATGATATTTCAGTGTGAGGTTTTCTTACCGAATACCACTTTAGCTTCAATTAATATCCGGGAATTTTTTCTCGAACACGAATATTTAGAAAATTCTCAAAATTTTCAAAATATTATCGTTCTCGAAAAAATTTCCGGAAATAATTGAAGCTCTCGTGATATTATAAGTGAAAATGATAGTCTTTGTCATGGTCTCGGGATATTACCCACGATAACTGCCTTTCTGAGTATGTGCCTTTCTGAGTATGTTCGGATGATTGATAAACATTTCATTTCTAGCAACGGTATGTGCCATCTCGGTTGGCATGATATATGGATGGACATCTCCTATGATCCCATACATGACCAGCGAACATAGTCATGTGGAAACCACGAAGAGGGAGGCCGAAATGCTGGAAACCGACATGATGATCGGCGTTTTTTGCGGCCTTCCACTCACCATATACTTGGTGGACAAAATAGGAAGAAAGAGATTGCTGTTGGTAGCTGGATGTATAGCTCTAGCAGGATGGATAACAGTCGCAGCAGCCAATAAGATGGTATACTTCCACGTGGCTAGATTCTTCTTCGGGATAACTGCTAATATGTGTAGTGTTGCTGCTCCCATGTACGTTGCAGAAATTGCAGAAAGCAACATCAGAGGCTTCTTATCCAGTACCTTCAATTTCATGATGGCCATAGGGCTCTTGATAATGTACGCAATTGCACCATTCACACCGTTTTATACCACTTCGATCATCGGCATACTGATATGCACTTTGGAACTAGTCATACTGTTCTCCATGCCTGAATCTCCCTATTATTTATTGTACATAAATGAGAATAAAAAGGCGAAAGAGTCACTGGAATATTTCAGAATGCACAGAGAGGTTGACAAAGAACTGAGGGAGATGATGAAGGCTGTGGAGAGGCAAAAGTGTGAGAGAGGAAGGATACAAGATTTGGTTCTGGTCAGAAGCAACCGCAAAGCCATGCTGGTGATGACCATACTGAATGTCGGTCAGAACATGGTAGCAATCTCCGTCATCCTGATGAATCTTCATCCCATTCTCGAATCAGCCGGATCAATCTACATGAGCTCATCCGTTGCCGCCATCTTGTTTGCAGTGATAACTTTGATTTCCGCTTATATTGCATCGCTTCAGGTTGACAAGTACGGCAGGAAAGCACTGCTTCTTATATCGTCGATCTTATCTTCGCTCAGCTTACTATCCATAGCTATCTACTTCCATTTGAAGAATAACAACTTCGAATTGACATCGGTTAGCTGGTTACCTACAGCTGCCCTTATGGTATACGCAGCCACCTTCAAATTGGGATTGGGAATCGTTCCAGTCGTTATGAGTTCCGAACTATTTTCAGCCAAAGTTAAAGCGCTGGGGATGTCCTTTGCTGATATTATGTATGTTATTGGAGGAATTTTCAGTATTCAACTGTACGTTTGGTTGTCCAGCTGGTTTGGCCTGCATGTTCCATTATATGTGTTTACTGTTAGTGGTTTCGTGCTGGCATTGTTCGTAGTGTGTTATATTCCAGAAACCAAAGGAAAGACTCTCGAAGAAATTCAATATATACTCAAAGGAGAAGAATTTTTCACGAACGCGCTGTTATCACAACAAGAAGATTATATTTTGTAGTACTCTAGTGTTCAGAATACCAGTTTTGTTACTGAAACATTGTCTAGCTTCTGCTAGATTGAAAGATTGAACTTGAGAACTTTCTCCACTAGATTGTGATTATATTGTTCTTACAAGAGTTCTGAGATAACCCGATTGAGAAAAAAATATACACACGGAAAAAATTATTGGCTATCGATACTGAAATATTTAAATTGTAAACGAAAAGAAAATAAAATTCACCTGGAGAGATAACGAAAATCAATGTTAATGCAGCCAAAGTTTTCTTTTTAAATGATTTTTGTATCAGCTAATCGAACATGTACTCGAAGAGAACCAAACCATTTACAATTTGGCAGCATGTAACAATATTTCTCTCATGATAATTCTATTTGTCGTATTTGACAATATATCTGCTGATACTTTTGTTCTATCAGCAAATTCCTTCGTCATCAGTAGATTAAATGTTTAGCTATTATTGCAAACGCTTCACTACTGCAAAAGATATGATACCTCATCGGTAAAAAAACCAGCCACTCTTGATCATTTGAAGCAATAATAATTATTGTTAAGCTATTTATTCAGTCAGGGGAACTTTATGAAATATCAGGGTGGCTGTTTTTTTACAGATGAGTTCATTTTATACTCATTCGAATAATTTGCAGTTGTAGCAAGTATTTTTAGACACAATTAAAGATGCAGTTGCTATAAGAAACAGTATATTTGATTCTTTCAGCCGTATATTTGTCAACTACACATGATGCAATTGCTATCAATGAGAAATAAAATTTTTGTCAATCTCTGTTCTTGCTGGTCTCCACCACAGAACTCATAGACCTAGAATGCTAATGCAAGTATGAGAAATCGCTGAAATCTGATACAACCAGTGTGCTTACGGCAATGGTGATCATGCGCACATTGTCGGCAACATTGTCAGTTATATATTTCCATACGCAAATCTCATATTCATGCATTAGGAAAACTCCTTGTTACTGATAATCAACAGCTTTACAAAATCTATACTATGAAATTTTCACGACAAAATTCATAGACTCACTGATATTAATTGAATGGCTTACAAGAGATCGATGAATTATTATGAACTTCAACTTTCTTACGAGTACATCTGGCAACTGAGTGAGAATGTGCCTCTGTCGTTTTGTCTGACGTAGACTCAAGACAGAGCCAGATTAGTTTCAGTTTTTCAGTGTTCTGCTTTGCGTTCAACGTCTTCCGTTAGTGAATTTGAGATTATTGAAGAGAGTGACAAGAACAGTACTTATTGATTCGACATTCATTGACTGATTTGTGTACAGTGTTTTCGAAATGGATGATTGGCTGACAAGATGAAGAACAAATTCTAGGAATGTCTCACTTATATCGTCAACAAAATTTGTGCTATTATATTTTTTTTCTATAGCTGAAACACACAATGGCTCTTGTTTTACTCTGTTCGATAAATCACTTTGTATGCCATCAATGTTATTTCCGTGTCTGATATCACAATGACATTCGTTGTGTTATTATTTCACAAAATCCCATCTCCTATGAATGTCAAATTCCAAGTCAAGACAGCTCTGTCTAATAGAAGAGCATTACTTGAGAGAAAATGCTAATTTCCCACTCGTATGATTTATAGCATACGCCTGTTGTCATAATCATATTACCAAAATTAGAATATCTGGCAAGAAGTTACAGATCTCTGGAATTAATGATATCGAATCAAATGTCAGACTCACCAAGAGTTTCCACGTTGATTGGATATACCACTATTGAGAACTCGACTCCTCTTTTTCTCAAAACAACTGAACTATTCAATTTTAGCGATCAAAGTAACCATTTCATGAGTATCTGCACCATATTTTGTTTTATGTCCTGAGAATTAAAGCAAGAACACGATTTTCAAAACTGGAATTCAGAGGGACGTATCTCCCTGGAAGAGTTTTTTTAAAAAATCTATAATATTCAAGCCGCTTTATATTTTGAAGAACCATGGTGAATTATTGCTAATAAAGCCTGAACCACCCTGTATATTTGCTCGCTCATTTCTATCCAATGAACACTTCAGTTGATGGAAAATACATCGAACCATTACTCCTGATAACATGAGGAATTCATCATAACAAATATCATATGAATTTTTCACAATGTTCTGCTCATTCAAGAAAGCCATAAAAACCTGGTAATCAAATAATTCTGAATCCGCCCCTGGCATCACATTTGTCGTGCGAGCCACGTTAGGAAAAACTCGAGACTATGAGTTCTGTGGTCTCCACTGACCTTTTTTATTTTACAAGATAGTTATAATTGATGAAAGATGAAATATGGCATAAACATTAAATGCTAGAAGATTTTCATCCGAAACAAAATTTGAATCGAAAAAGATTCTAGCACAATGATTTCATGCCACCTGATGTGGCATCATTTTCAATAGCTTCAAGCTGGCCAGGTAGCAGTGTGGTGAGTGATTTAAAATTCACCACATGGTAGAAGTAAGTCTCGTTATTTTTTGTCTACGACGTTCGTTTGTAGAATATGACCAACAAATTACGTGATATTTCTTGACGTCATATTACCCAGTAAACACACATATGTCTGCCATATGGCAAATGGAGCTCATCAGGGTTCCGGAGAAACAACACCATGCAACATATCTGCTACAAAGCTCTTACATTTCATGCAATATATTTTCTTGTTCAGGTGGTAACTGAAAACATATCATATACATATATGATAATTCGAATGCCATGAAAAAGATTGTTTAGTTGAATTATACATCTATGGTAAAGGAAACAAAATCGCATGTTTCACTTATGTTTCGAAACTATACAAGATTATTTCTAAAATCACCAACATATTCATAACAGTGAAACGTTCTGTTCTGTATGAGTTGGAACCTAGTTAATGAAGAGAACTTCATGTTAGTGTCCTTTGAAGGTCATGTTATCCTTTGCATGTTTGTCTCACATATATGTTTGGAATGATAATTCTAATAGTGTATTGACTTCATTGTGAAATGTTTATAGTGATATTGGAATATCTCAAAAATATGTTCACCAGTTGAGTACAAGACAAAGGTGGAATCGAGGGTGTGATATCAAAAATGGAATTGATTAGGTAGGTAGGTACCTAATTATCTGTCTACATGATCACACATCACACACTGCTAATGTGCATTCATCTATGTAAGTACCGCCAGCCGATCCACATCAGCTGATCTTGAAGAAGATGCTCAAATGGATGTTGAAAGTAATGGTGTTTTCCTTTGTAATTTTTAGGAACAATTTGGAAGGGTTAGAGAATCCAAGAGCATGAAAAAATGGAACATTCTTCGACAAAAAATTTCGGGTAATCAAACATTCCATATTCCACTATACTTTTAAGTGCATTTTCCATCAAAGTCGGTTTCAACCTCTGAAGTAGAACTCTAGAACCCAACTGGAAACACGAAGGTGTACCTATCAATAGTATATGGTCAAAGTTCCACTGAGACATTATAAACCATTTTGGTGTGTCAAAAGTGCTATCAGAAATGATATATATATAGTAGGTGCAGAACTTTCCCCAAAAGAGAATAAACATTTCTGGATATATACCTGATAGAATCAGCTAGAAAGCATATGAATAATAGGTGATTCACCACTCAATTTACCCATCATTGACACTGATCTATTCTTTCATTTTGGTGCTTGAAATGCTGGATCATTTCAAATAGATAATAAAATTTTTATCTTCAATATTTTGTCTCTATTAATATAGGTATGATGTTTTCTCAGTGATGTATTCAAAACTTGAATTTCAAATGATTCCAAATTAATTATAATTCAGTTCTCACCTCATTGCTGAAGATGTATGAAATTGTTTTCATTGATTTTCAATCTATAAACCATGATTTATATTTCTCTAGGACTAGCTCCTGGAAACAATCAAAGACATGAAACACTACAAATGAGTAGGTAACTATACAACCCAAGTATACAGGGTTATCCAAATTGAGTGTCCACCATAGGTAACTTTGTTATAATTGAATATACAACATCGTTTAAATTATCAAACTAGCAGTGATTTCAATGCTCTCTATGATGAGAGAATGAAAATTTTAGTATCGCGTTTCTTGTAACACATAATGAGAAATTTTCTTTTATAGTCAAAAGTACCTATGTACTGATATTTCTCGAAATGAAAAGTACATTATTTCGGAATAATCTCACATATATTACTTTGTAACATTCATTTATGAGTATCATTATAAGAACAAATTCGTTACTTATGATGTATCAGATACATATATGTATGCAATGTTACTTCAAAAACGCTCAACATATGTCAGATCTATTAAGGACATATTCAGGGAGGAAAAAATTTGACGTTTCATGCAAGATACATTAACTGTACAAATAATATGTCTGCAACATCGGATGAAAACAGAAATATGTATTTGTTATGTATCAGATATGTATTTGTGTTTGCTGGGTAAAAGCGAATTCTATTCGTGAACCTGGTAGAGCACCAGTTTTGCACCCGCACTACGTTAGTTATCTCTCTCTGATGTGAGCTCGTGCATTCCCAATGGATTATGAAATTATATTTTGATAAAATTCTTATTGGAGGTTATATGGGATGAGCTGGTTTGTCTTCGTTCATGACTTGTCTGCATCCTGAAATTCTTCCTAAACTCAAATAATTGAATGTATAAATGAATAATTTTGAGTACTTTTTTTAATGAGTACCTACCTCAGGCAACCAGATGACGAATGATCACGTCAGTGTGACGTCCCAAATTGGTGATTTCTCGACAGAGACGTCAAACACCAATTTATGACGTCACTATATGACGTACTTTCTATGACGTGATAATCACGTCATCGTTTCGACGTCAACTGAACGTCACTTAGATGGGTAAAAGAAGACGTCAGTTTCATATGACGTTGCAGGGACGTCCTGTCGACGTCCATTTTTCTCAGACCTTCTCTAAACCATGGATACTTATATATCATGAAAGGAAATCAACTTGCAAGTTT